AAAAAAACCTTAAAAAATTTCTTTTTCCTTTTTTTTTTCTTCATTTGTTTTTCCTTTTTCCCTTTCTTCTTCCTCTCCCTTTCCTTTCACCTTCTGCAAACCCTAACTCCTAATATTAAACTCAAGGATAACACAACAAATCAATAGATTAAACTCAATGAATCCTTGACCCAATGGCTGCTAGTTTCGAAACGAAACCCAGAGCCTCACTTGCAGGAACCCAGCGGTTGCTAAGTAGTCGCTGGATTCTACCGACCGAGCAACTGCTGGGTTTGAAATGAAACCCATTGCCTACTAGGTTCAATTTCGAACCCAGGACCTCCAAAAACCTAGCGACTACTAGGTTCGAAATTGAACTCAATGTCAGACCTAGCACCTGCAGTAACCCAACGACTACCTTGCCTTGCCTTCTTCATCTTCATCAATAAATTTTTCATCACAATTAAACAACAAAATCCAAAAAACAAAAGCATAAATTTTTTTTTAAAAAATTTTTTGCACCTGGGTTCGCAAGGAATCCAAACGTGAACCCAGCATGCTTGGGTTCCTTGCGAACCCAGGTGCTAGGTTCGCAAGGAACCCAACGCTTGGTTAGGTTCGAAGGAATCTAGGCCTGTTGGGTTCCAGGGGAAAAGAGAAGGGGAAAGGGAAGGAAAAAGAAATATAAAAAAAAAAGTTCTAAGTTTTATTTTTCATAATATTTTTTTATATTATTATTTTTTCCACGTCATCACTTTTTTATCATAGTATCTTCCATGTATATTAATATTTGACATGTCATCTTGTAACCGTGAAGTAACAAGCCACATCACAAGATTTTTAACGGAAGGACTAAATCGGGGTAAAAATGGTAAATAATAAAGACTAAATTAAAGATTTTTTTAGTTTATAAACTAAATTAGGGATCCGTACAATAATTTAGGGATCAAAATGAAATTTTAACCTAATGACAATTATGTAAAGTTTGCAGGGTCTTATCCTAAAAAAAAAAAGAAGGTGCAATGCACTTTATATATATATATATATGGAAATTAATTAATTTTATCGATTTTTAAATAAAAATATTAATATTTAATTTCTTATATAAGTATTTGTAATTTTTATCTTTTTTTTAAAAAAATATTAATTTTTAATTTTTTTAATTAAAAATTAATTAAACGATAGTGTTGATATAACAAATAAATTTTTTAACTAAAATTAATAATTTTAAATAAAAATAATTAAAAAAATTAATGTTTTATTTAAAAATTAACAAACAGCATGTGTAGAATACAAATTTGCTTTATTAACGTGGAAAAAGATAAGTCTGCCGGGTCACGGGATACTTTGTAATAATTCCCGGACAAAAAAAAAAAAAAGAATCTAATTTGGAAGTCTTTGTAGTGTTTCCACACCTTAAAATGACATCTCAGTTAAGAGCAGTACTAGGGGCACTCGCCTCTTGCACTCTCCGGCCAACACTTCCCCTTTCATTGGGCCACGTAAGCTTGTTTCAGCTTTGAAGAGCAACCTCTTCGCCACCAGAATAACGTGGCCCAATAAAAGTGAAAGAGTTGGCCGGAGAGTGCAGAAGGCGAGTGCCCCTAGCACTCCTCTCTCAGCTAAAGGTCTCCCTGTAAAGGTTTTTTACCTCTGTATGACACATTAGCATAAAACACAAAAGTATGAACTTACTATAGACTAAATGGTGACGTGGACAGTAGATACAACAACGGGTATCAC